TATATATATATATATATCCTAATTGTCTCCTTTTTGTCTCCTTTTGTGTGTGTGTAGGTATTAGATGTAGTGTCTCCTTCTATTGTATTTGATCCATCAGATACATCATGGGTCTCCTCTTTCTCTGGTGCTCGTCATTGTCTCTGCAGCATGCATGCATCACGTTCTTTTCTTTTTATACCTACTGTTGCTGCTGGTCTTTATGTCTTGCTGCTGCGTTATCTTCATCGTCAATTTGATGCTTTTTGCTCATTGGCGGATTCCCTGTCTCTATCTGAGGAGGGAGGAGGAGACACCAGCAGCAGCAGCAGCAGCAGCAGCAGTAGTAGTAGTAGTAGTAGTAGTAATAGTATCGGTGTTGGTGATATAACAGGAGCAACAGCAGGAACAGGAGCAGCAGCAGCAGCAGCAGCAGCAGCAGCAGCAGCAGCACCAGGAGAAGAAGAAGAAATGTGGAGACACATAAATATAGTCATGGGACGATCCCCCGATCCCCATCCTGACGCTGTCGCCTCCCGTCTCCGTCTATGGATAGCAGCAAATAAACAGGGACTTGCTGCACCTCCTGCAGGTGCAGCAGCAGCTGCTGCTGCTGCTGCTGCAGCAGCTGCTGCTGCTGATGGGGATGAAATAGACATCCAACAGCAGCAACAGCAGCTGCAACAACAACATGGCGATGGTGGCAGCAGCACAACCACCAAACAGAGCAGCAGCATCAGCAGCAGGCCAAGCAGCAGCAGCAGCAGCAGCAGCATTAGATCTCGTGGTATGAATTGGGGTAAACGTGTAGGTAGTCTCCTTAGTAAGCCATGGGGACGATCCCATGGGAGACGAGTTGTTGGGATCGGTGTGGGGTATCGTCGGGGATCGGGGATCGATCCCAGCTGGCCTCTATTACAAGATATTGTCTCTTATATAAGGAGACACTTTTTTGTCTCCTCTTCTTGCCGTCTCCCTATTGATGATGAATTGTGTCTCCTTCGTCTCTTCTCTAGTCACCATCCTTCCCTTACAGATATTATTAATAGACAAGCTGTACTAGAGGCTATGCTGTCTCCTTCTCCCTCTCCTTCTCCCTCCTCCTCCTCTCCTCCTCCTCCTCCTCCTCCTCCTCCCTCAACAGCAACAACAGCAACAACAGCAACAACAGCAACAACAGGAGGAAGAGGAGGAAGAGGAGGAGGAGGAGGAGGAGGAGGAGAGGATAGGAATATATATCTAGGTGAGTTAGTGTCTGTTGATGATATAAGAGTAGTATATATAGTGTCTCCTTCTGTCCCTTACATAGAGGACTTTGATTGTATAGAGGATAATAATATATTATTACCAATAAATAGTGTCTCCTCTCTTGTTGATGCATGCGGAGGATCCCTTGTATATAATAGACCAACAGAGGAGACACTAAGAGGAGCAGAGGGACTAGATTATATAAATAAGGCATTAGATAAGGGAATAAAGATAGCAGATTTTTTATTATTATATGAATTATTAACAGATTGTCTCCCTATATATATACAACAAGGAGAGGCCCCTAGGGTATGGGGGGCCCTCCTTCTTAGGTGTCTCCTTCCTACATGGGATTGGAGGAGGAGCAGCAGGGATCGTCTCCTTTCTATTCTTCGTCTCCTTTTATATAATCCTAATTTATCTGTTAATTTTCCTCGTATAAAGGAGGAAAAAAGAATTAAATTATTAAATATATCTATATCTAGATCTATTGAGCCTATACAACAATTATTTAGGGATATTTATTCATCTATTATACACCTCAAGGAGACAGCACAATTAAGATTACCTCCTGTTGTTCTTCCTCATGGTATTATTAGGGATCCTCCTCATCATACTATTGTACGTATACTCTCTCCTCTTCTTATTATACTCTCTCTTTTTTTTTTCCTCCTTTTTTTTCCCCTGTCTCCTTTTCTTATTATACTCTCTCCTTTTTATTTCCTCTCTCCTTTTTTCTCCTGTCTCCTCTTCTTATTCTACTGTCTCCTTTTTTTTCCTGTCTCCTCTTCTTATTCTACTGTCTCCTTTTTTTTCCTGTCTCCTTTTCTTATTCTACTGTCTCCTTTTCTCATTATCCTGTCTCCTTTTCTTGTTATACTGTCTCCTTTTTTTCCTGTCTCCTTTTCTTATTATCCTGTCTCCTTTTCTTGTTATACTGTCTCCTTTTTTTTTCCTGTCTCCTTTTTTTTATTATACTCTCTCCTTTCTTATTACACTGTCTCCTTTTCTACTGTCTCCTTTTTTATTACACACTGTCTCCTTTTCTTATTATACTGTCTCCTCCTTTATTACATTGTCTCCTTTTTTATTATACTGTCTCCTTTTTTAGTCTCCTGTCTCCTTTATTATGTTGTCTCCTCTGTTTGTTGTATATCTGTCTCTCTTCTTCCTTCTGTCTCCCTTAATCTGTCTCCTTCTGTCTGCTGTGTATAACAAAAAAAGACACTGTCCCTCCATCAATTCTTAACTGTCTCCTTAACTGTCTCCTCGCTGTCCTCTAGTGTCTCCTCAACTCTATTCTTAACTGTCTCTTTCCTGTCCCTTTCTTGTCTCCTCCTACTGTCTCCTCCTACTGTCTCCTCCTACTGTCTCCTCCTACTGTCTCCTCCTACTGTCTCCTCCAACTGTCTCCTCCTACTGTCTCCTCAGGTGTTCGGTCCCTCTCATTGGACTCGCCGTCTGTTAGTGTCTCCTCGTGCTGTTGATTGTTCTTGTGAGGTTCGTCTGCTGCTGCCAGTAGATGGGGGACAATATGTATCTGTTATGGAGACAGCTGCTGCTCTTGCTGCTGCTGCTGCTGCTCCTAGCAGCAGCAGTGGGGGGAAGACACAGCAACAGCTGCAGCAAGAAGCAAAAGAAGCAGCAGCAGCAGTAGCAAGAGAGGTTGTTGTTGGTCCCGATCTTCTTGCTGCTCTAATAAAAAAACCTTTAGAGACAGTTGTAGGCAGCAATCTAATTTGCTTCGATGCTGCTGCTGCTGCTGCTGCTGCTGCAGCAGCAGAGACACCAGACAACTGTCTCCCTTTTGATCTGTCTCTTGATCCTGTCTCCAAGACAACAATAGGCAAAAGGACAATCGATAGACTAAAGAAAGAAGTCGTGGTTAATGCTAAAAAGGTACGCTGCTGCTGCTGCTGCTGCTGCTGCTGCTGCTGCTGCTGCTGCTGCTGCTACTTTTGCTGCTACTGCTGCTGCTGTTGCCGGTTCTATAACTGCTGCTGCTGCTGCTGCTGCTGCTGTAGGTGTTGCCTGTACTGTGTGTGAATGTTTGTTGCATACAGCAGCAAGAATCGTCACGACGTTTGTGTCTCTCTGGATTCTGTCGTGAGGAGATACCTTCCTTGCTGCTGTCTCCTGCTGCTCTTGCTGCTCGTGTCTCCGATCTTGCTGCGCTGCGGCAGCGGCTGCTGCAAGGCTTCTTACAGGACGGCAGATTAACAGAGAAGGGAGTAAGACTGTTGCATGCATTAGTCTCTCATGTAGAGGGACTAGATGACCCTATTGACCCCAGCAGCATCAGCAGCAGCAGCAGCAGCAGCAACGATCAGCAGAAGCAGCAGCAGCAGGAGTGGGGGCAGCAAGAAGCAAAGGAATTGCTGCTTGCTGCTATGGATAAACAAGAAGAGATAGAGAAGAATAAACTAAATCCTTGGAGACTCCGCTGCATGCAATGGGCGCATGCACTAGGGAGAGCAGCAGGAATAGAGACAACTGTCTCCTTTGAGTCCTTAGTGTCTCTTTCTATGTCAGCGCATGCAGAGGAAATCTTATTACTCATTAATCCTTTCCTTACACCAAGTGAGCTAATCAACAACCCTTTGCTGCTGCTGTTGCTGCTGCTGCTGCTGCTGTTGCAGCTAACAGCAGCAGCAGCAGCAGCAGCAGCAATCTGTATTGTGTACCTCTAGTAGTTCATCTATGCGAATTTGTCTCCACACGCTATAGACCTAAAGAAACATACTCACCACTAACCCTTCCTGCTGCTATTACTGCTGCTGCTACTGCTGCTACTGCTGCTACTGCTGCTGCTGCTGCTGTTGCTGCTGGTGTGTCTGTGTATACAGAGATGGTGTTGGATATATTTAGCTTAGTAGGCGCAATAATGTTAGCAGTAAATCGTCGTGCACAGATCTGCTGGTGTCTCCAAGGGACACTTGAGCTAATGCAGCTCCTTAAGACTTTCTCTACACAAGCAAGAGCAGCAGCTATACAAGATAGGCAGCAGCAGCAGCAACTGCAGCAGCAGCAGCAGCAGCAGCAGCAACAGCAACAGCAGCAGCAACACAGGATGCTCCCAGAAGGATTAGATGCAGTTGGAGGGGCAACACCACAAGGCGGTTCAACAACTTTCTCAACAGCAGCAGCAGGAACACCAACAGCAGGAGCAGCAGCAGCAGCAGGAGCAGCAGCAGCAGCAGCAGCAGGAGGAGTAGTAGTAGGCCCTGCAGTAAAGAGACTGTTAGGTCAGGCTGTTGCTGCTCTGCACATGAAGGCCCAAGCAGTAGCTGAGCTTGTTAGTAGCGGTCGTCATTTTATGCACGAACTGTCTCCTTCTGCAGCAGCAGCAGCAGCAGCAGCAGCTACATCTCCTGCTTCTATTACTATTGATGAAGGGAATAAACGTACAACTGCAACAACAACAACAACAACAGCAGCTGGTACTTTTGCTGCAGCAGCATCCCCACCGGGTACAACAGCAGGAAGTGGTGCAACCCCACCAACCCCACCAACAGCAGCAACAACAACAACAACAACAACAACAACAACAACAACAACAACAACAACAACAACAACAGCAGCAGCAGCAGCAGCAGCAGGAGCTGTATACGATCCACGTTACCTTGTATTTGAATTTGCATACAGTTTGCTGCTGCGTAGGAGCCAAGTGCTGCTGCTGCAGCAATTTAGAGACAGTGTAAGAAGGAGACAGTCTATATGTAAACAAATGATAATGGGTGCAGGTAAGACAACAGTAGTGTCTCCTTTATTGTCTCTTTTATTAGCTAATGGTAAGGAATTAGTTATATGTATAGTACCTCCTTCCTTATTACAATTCTCTAAGGAGACACTTAGGGAAAGATTTAGTGCTATATTTAATAAAAATATTTATTTATTATTATTTAATAGATATAATAAGGTGTCTCCTTATTTATATAATAAATTAATACAAATAAGAGACAGTAGGGGTATTATTATTACTACACCATCATCTATTAAATCTATTTTCCTTAAGACTATTCATCTTATGCAAATTATACAAGCTGCTGCTGCAGCAGCAGCAGCAGCAGCAGCAGCAAAAGGGACTATAGGGAGACACCTTGATACTATCGAGGCCATTGGCGCCTCACAACTAAAAAAGCTACAAACACAAATCTCTAAACTTCTTAGGATGCCCTCCTCTAGTAAGCAGCAACTGTCTCCTTTTTTTATACTGTCTCCTTTATTTATACTGTCTCCTTTTTTTTTAACTGTCCCCTTTTTTTATACTGTCTCCTTTTTTTTCTGTCTCCTGTTTTTATACTGTCTCCTTTTTACTGTCTCCTCGTTATATACTCTCTCCTTTGTATATTTCTGTCTCTTTTCTGTATAGTGTCTCCTTTTTACTGTCCCTTATGTATACTGTCTCCTTTATACGCTAATGTCCCCTTCCTCTACTGTCTCCTTTTTATGCACCAACACGAGCAGCAGCAGCAGCAGCAGCAGCAGCAAGAGGAGGAGAATATATAAGAGTAATATATATATAATATATATATGTGTATATATATATGAATTGTCTACAGGTTCATCAGGACGTAATAGTGATGGATTAATGGAGACAGTAGGTGTCTCCTCTGTTATGTCTCCTAGTATGGTGTCTCCTGTCCCTTTTTCTTCTTTGTCTTCCTCAATAGAGAAGCAGCATGACCATGAGCATGATCAGGATAATAAGGATGATAAGAATAAGGAGAAGAAAGAAGAAAAAGAAAAAGAACAAGAAAAAGAACAAGAAAAAGAACAAGAAGAAGAAGAAGAAGAAAAAGGGAATAAGAATAATAAATATAATATAAAAAAAGAATTAAATATATGCATAAAAATAATAAAAATAATTAATAAAAGTTTATTAATTATTGATGAAGTTGAGGAGATACTTCATCCTCTTAGAAGTGAATTACATTGGCCTCTAGGCAATAAATTACCATTAGATCTAACTATGTCTCCTGCTGCTGCTGCTGCTGCTGCTGCTGCTGCTGCTGCTGCTGCTGGTAGTGGTACTGGTAGTGGTAGTGGTAGTGGTAGTAGTTGTAGTGCAGCAGCAGGTCCTGCTGCTGCAGCCCCTGTGTCAATGGGTATGCAGCAACAGCAGCAAATACAACTTCATCAGAGACATACACGTAATAGGGGTCAGCAGCAGCAGCAGCAGCAACAGCAGCAACAGCAGCAGCAACAAGGTCCACCATCTGCTGCTGCTGCTGCAGCTGCTGCTGCTGCTACTCTTGCTGCTGCTGGTATAACAGAACCTCTTATATCCCCTAGACAGCCCGAGCAGCCGCTGCTGTGGCTCTTTGGAGACAACGAAGGAATCCGCTGGCAAATCCCTTGGTTCCTTCTTGATCCTATCTTCTACTTCTATACGTAAACCCTAAACCCTAAACCCTAAACCCTAATAAACCCTAATAAACCCTAATAAACCCTAATAAACCCTAATAAGTCCTAATAAACCCTAATAAACCCTAATAAACCCTAATAAGTCCTAATAAACCCTAATAAACACTTATAAACACTTATAAACAGTAATAAACACTAATAAACACTAATATACACTAATAAACACTAATAAACTAAACCCTAAATCTATCCTAACCTCCAGCAGCAGCAGCAAGTAAGTAAATGGTGTTGCTGTCTTGTTTATTGTGCTATTTGTGTGCAGGGGACAGACAACAGTCTCCTGTACGGACAATGCAGAGACATGGCGTTTATTAGGTTTAATAAGACAGCAACTGCAGCAAGGAGTGCAGCAGAAAGCACTGCAGCAAAGTCCCCATTTGCTGCTGCTGTCTCCTTCTTGGTACCATGATAACCTTAAGCCCTTACTTGCATCATGGATGTGTCTCTTTTTTAAGCTAAAAAAATTCACAGGATTGTCTCCTGAGAGACAGCAGCAATACATCGTAAGCACCAGCAGCAGTAGCAGCAGCAGCAGCAGCAATAGCAGAAGTAGCAGCAGCAGCAGCAGCAGTACTAGTAGTAGTAGGAGCAGCAGTAGCAGCTTGAAGAGACAGGAAGAGACAGAAAAAGGAGACAATATTGAATAAGTGTACCAATTGGTGCAGCAAGTGTCTCCTTTCTGCAGCAGATATAACATATATTTATATATGTATATCTCTTGTCTCCTGCCTCCTGTCTCCTATCTCCTGTCTCCTTTTATTGCTGCAGCTACTACCTCCTCAAGGTATATCCATAGGAGAAGACAGAAAAGGAGACACTTATTTATACGGAGATTTATATGACGCAGTAGAGAGACTTAATGATATACATATTAAGACATTAAATCTAACAAGAGATTGGCTTACCTGTCTCCTCCCTCATGTCTTCCAGAAGACTAATAGAGTTAAGTAAGTAATTGTCTCCTTTTTTATCTTATTACTGTCTCCTTTTTCTTCCTTAATTGTCTCCTTTCTTGCTGTATAAGTGTCTCCTTTTTATCTATTATATTCATATTTATATTTACCTGTCTCCTTCCTCTTGTCTTATAGAGGACTAGTAAGTAACTGTCTCCTTTTTTATCTTATTACTGTCTCCTTTTTATTATATAAGTGTTTCCTTTTTCTTATCTAACTGTCTCCTTCCTTCTTATATAAGTGTCTCCTTCTATTATACCTGTCTCCTTTTCTTCTCTTATACACTCATCATCATGTGTGTTTCTTCCTCCCTGTCCCTCTCCTGTTGCTCCCTCCCTCCTCCTCCCCTCTTGTTCCTCCTCCTCCTCCTCCTCCTACTACTACTACTACTACTACTACTACTACTACTGCTGCTGTTGCTGCTGCTGCTGCTGCTGCTATTTTGTGCTGCAGTTACGGCTTAATGACTAGCGAGGAGATAGAAGAGAGACAAAATATACCACGTAGTCGTAGATATTTAGCTGTCCCTTTTATAGGTAAAGATTGTCCCTCTTTATCCTCTGAGTTCTCTCATCCTGATGTACTAATAGGTCTAACTATATTATCCTATAGAATACAAGGAATAAGAAGAGACAATTTTTTTTGTCTCCTTAAATATATATTATATAAGGCTAATAAGGAGACACTTTATTCACCTATTAAGGAGACACCTACTAGTAAGGAATATAATACATGGGTATGGGCAGCAGGAGGAAGAGTAAGGGGAATACATAAAGTTAATCAGCAACATAATAGATGGGTAACACAGCTTAAGTCTCTTGCTGCTGATGCTGCTGCTGCTGCTCATAATAATAATAATATGCAGCAGCAACAGCAGCAGCAACAGCAGCAACAGCAGCAATTTGGTGGTGGAGACACTTTAGGGTCTCCTCCTCCAAGTCTAGGAGGAGACACTTTCCTCTCTATACAACAAAATAACTTATTCTCTTCTTCTTTTTCCTCCTCCCCAGCAGCAGCAGCAGGAACAGCAGCAGGAACAGCAGCAGCAGCAGCAGCAGCAGCAACAGCAGGAGGGACAAAAGGAGACAGTTGGGAAGAAAAGTATAATAAGATATATCCATTAGAGATGTTAAGTATATATGATGAGGAGGAGACAGATAGATTATATAATTTATTAAGATTGTCTCCTTTATTAATAAGTACTTATTTATTTAGATTAATATTACCAAGTATATTAATGCATGCATGCATGCAATTATCCTCATCAGGACAAGAGATAGGAGGAGACACTCTCTTCTGTCTCCGTCTAGGATTCTCTGGTACCCCGTCAGAGTTACTACCTGAGGGTATAGGCCCCTGTATATACGAGGAGGGGACAGACGGGCACGTACTGCAGTTATTAGTGTCTCCTTTAACTGTCTCCTTTGAGGTATTGTCTCCTAATTGGACTGTCTCCTCCTTATTAAGACGTATAGCACAGCAACAGGAGCCACGCATGCATGCATTAATAGATACAGGGGCCCTTATATGCGGACTTAGTAACCTACAGGTTGCCTTGCTGCTGCTGCAGCAGGGACTGCAGCATGTAGATGGTGTTGTATTCTTAGATAAAGGAGACAGGCAAATGATTCTCCTTCGTGATGGTCTCCGTCTCCTCCAGCTAGCTGAGTGCGGATTAGCTCCCCATAGAAGGTTCTCCTTCTATGATCATGTACATACTACTGGACAGGTAACTCTCTCCTTTTTTTTCTTTATTGTCTCCTTTTTCCTGTCTCCTTTTTTGTCTCCTTTTTATACTGTCTCCTTTCTTATACTGTACTGTCTCCTTTCTTATACTGTACTGTCTCCTACAACGTGCTGAATGCGGATTAGCTCCTCATAGAAGGTTCTCCTTCTATGGCCATGTACATACTACTGGACAGGTAACTGTCTCCTTTGTTGACTGTCTCCTTTTTTTTACTGTCTCCTTTGTTGACTGTCTCCTCTTTTTACTGTCTCCTTTTTTGACTGTCTCCTTTTTTGACTGTCACCTTTTTTGACTGTCTCATTTTTTTTTACTGTCTCCTTTTTTTATTGTCTCCTTTTTTTACTGTCTCCTTTTCTTACTGTCTCCTTTTTGTCTGTCTCCTTAGGATATTCATCAAGCAGCAGACGCAAAAGCATATATAACATTAGGTAAAGATTGTACATTTAGGGACATTGCCCAAGGGGCCTTTCGTATGAGGGGACTAGGGAGGGGACAGACACTGCATCTATTAATTCCTCCAGGTGTTGCTGCTCTTATTGATGATCATGCAGCACAAGTAGGGGCATTAATGCCTGGTGCTAGTCTCTTTAATCAGCAGCAACAACAGCAGCAGCAGCAGCAGATGGTGCAGCTACAGCAGCAGCAGCAGCAGCAGCAGCAAAAGCTTGCAAAAGGACGATCTGTATTAGGGGAGATATGCTGCTGGCTAGTATCTAGACAAATAACCCATGAATGTCTGCAGCAGCGGCTGCTGTGCATGCAGAGCGCATGCAATGTATGGAGACAATCAGCATTTAATATATTAAAGGAGACATATTTATTATTAGGGACAGATAAAGTGTCTCCTCTAATACAGCATGCATTAGCTGTATTCCTTGAGCCATTAGATTTTACTGTCTCCTCTACTGTCCCCTTTAATGCCCCTCTTAGTCTCCGTCTCCGTCAGATGGCGCTGCAGCATGCAGATCTAATTCATGCAGCAGAGGAAGCAGCAGCAAAAAAAGAAGCAGAAGAAGAAAAAGCAGCAGCAGCAGCAGCAGCAGCAGGAACAGCAGGAACAGCAGCAGCAGCGGGGAGGACTCGTAGGTTGAGGCCGCAACAGCTTATTGATAAACTTATCTATCAACTAGAGGAAGAAGAAGCAGCAGCAAGGAGACAAGCAGCAGCAGCAGCAACCAGCAGCAGCAGCAGCAGGGAGACAGATGGAGACGCTCTGCGCTTTGAGGGACTAGAGGCAGAGATAGAAGGAGAAGAGGAGCAAGAGCAAGAAGAAGAACAGGTACACTATCTGCAACAATAACAGCAATTGCTGCTGCTGCTGCTGTTGCTGCAGTTGCTGCTGCTTCTGCTGCTGCTGCATGAGGGATTGGTGTATATATGTTTGTGTTATTTGTGTATACAGGAGCAAGAGCAAGAGATAGAGCAAGAGAAGCAAGAGGAGACAGTAAAGGAGACAGAAGAAGCAGCAGCATTAAATTATACAAGAACAGAGGAGACACCTCGTCCTTGGTTACTTGCCTCCCTGTCTCTTCCCCCTAATGAGGAGACACAAGGATTTTATCCATCTAGTAGGTTCTCTGTTGCTCCTGCACTGCAGCAGAAGCTAGCCCGCTTGCAGCAGCAAAAAGGTACAGGTGCAGCAGCAACAGCAGCAGCAGCAGCTGCAGCAGCTGCTGCTGCTGTAACAGGCACAACTGTCTCCGCTGCTGCATCAGGTCTCCCCTTCCCCCCCTATCTCCTTTTTAGTAGTAATTACTTTAAGGGGGAATGGACTGTCTCCTCTGCCCCAAGGAGACTCAAGAATATTATTCTTGTTATGCAGTGGCTGCCTGATTGGGACAGCAGCAACAGCAGCAGCAACAGCAGCAGCAGCAGGAGACAGCAGCAGCAAAGAAAAGGACAGCAGCAGCAGCAGCAAGGATTGCTGCTTGATGAGGGACTGCTGCAGCAAGCATTTAAATGTTTTACTCATGGAGACACGGAGACACTTGCAGAGAGAGACTTACCTGATTTCCTTGCTGCGCTGCTGCTGCCTGCTGCTGTCCCTGGTGCTGTAGGGGCCCTTTGTTCTTATGTTAAGTCTCTTGTCCTGCAGCAACGAGCAGCAACAGCAGCAGCTGCAGCAGCTGCAGCAAAAACAACAACTTACCCATACAGAGACACCCCAGCACTGCCACAACCATCAGCTGCATGCACGCAGCCATCTCCTGCTGCTGCTGCTCACCTGCGGCAGCAACAGCAGCAGCAGCAGCAGCTATCTGTGCTGCAAAACCTGTGGCAGCCGCCTACTCCCTCTCCAGCTCCTCTGCAGCAACAGCAGCAGCAGCAACAGCAGCAGCAGCAGCAGGATGCAGCTGATCCTTTTGCAGAATTGTTTGGGTCTCTGTCTAGAGGAGACAGTAAGAGGAGCAACGGAGGAGACACTTTCTCCTTGTCTCCTCCTGTCTCCTCTTCTCCTCCTTCTCTCCCTAGGGGGCAAAGCGACCTCCTAGGCCTCTTTGATGTCTCGCCTCAGCAGCAGCAGCAGCAACAGCAACAGCAGCAGCAGCATATGTTGTCTTCCTCTCTTTCTTTCCCTTCCTCTACACAACAACAACCTTTCTCTCCTTTCCCATCCCAAGTGTCTCCACAGCAGCAGCAGCAACAGCAGCAGCTGCAGCAGCAGCAGCAGCAGGAGATGCAGTTTACGTTACCTGAATTATCTGCTGCTCTTTGTAGGTCTCCTTTCTGTGGTGAGCAAAGGGGACGTTATTTTGTTGTATTAACCTTAGCAGAAGGAGAGGCAGTAAGAGCAGCACTGCATGCACGCCAACGGCAGCAGCAGCAGCAGCAGCAGGAGGGTCAGACAGACCAGCAGCAGCAGCAGCAGCAGCAGCTGGTGTCTCTTGTCCCTGGCCACCGTGTTGCAGTGTGTCTGCATAATGTTACGTCACGTTTCTCTGTTATTGATGGGTCTCCTTTATTCTTACGTAAAGAGGAGACAGTTGCTGCAGCAGCAGGACTGCAGCAGCAGACAGCGCATGCATGTCTGCGCTTTATAGATAGCCAGACCTATTACTCAGAGTCGCATCTGCTGCTGCTGCAGCGGGTACTGTCAGGTGTCTCCTGCAAGGAGAGACAGGACTTCTTCTTCTCTATTCGTTGCTGCAGGAGACGGCAGCAGCAAATAGTATGGCAGCAGCTACCTATCTCCTTGCTGCTGTCTGCAGCAGGCGGAGGTGCGCTGCTGCTGCAGCATAAGGCATTTGTCTCCCGTCTCCGTGAGAGACTACGTAAGAAGCAACTGTCTCCTAATGAGGCCTTCTGTCTCTTTGATGTCCTTAATAAGGGACACTTAACGCATGCACAGTTTGCTGCTGGCATTAAATGGTTGGGGCTGCAGCTGCCGCAGCAGCAGCAGCAGCAGCAAGACATCTGCAGCAGATTTGATCTAGATGGTGATGGATTCATCAGTCTTAATGATTTCTTATTGACGGTTGTACAAACAGAAGGAGGAGACACACCAGCAGCAGCAGCAGCAGCAGCAGCAGCAGCAGCAGGTGGTGGTGCTAACAGCGCAGCAGCAGCAGGAGCAGCAGAGGGGAGATCTGCTGCTCTTGGGCCTCTTGCGTTGCGTAACGATTCCTTTGATAGCACAACAGCTTCTTCTTCATCATCATCTGCAGCAGCAACTGCTGCTGCTGCTGCTGCTGCTGCACTATCAGCAGATGCAGCAACAGCAGCAGCAAGTAAGCAGTCTCTGCTGCAGCAATGGGGAATAAAGGAGACACTTCCTGAGTCTCTTCTGTCTCGTCTTAAGTTCCGTCTGCAACCCCACACCTCCTTCGAGCGTGTATGGATAGGCCGTCTCCCTTGTGCAGACTGCAGCAGCAGCAGCAGCAGCAGCAGCAGCAGCAGCAGCGAAATATTTTCTATATGGGCACCTAAGCAGCTAGCAGCAAAACATAGGGGGATGATGAGACGCAACAGGGAGAGAATTTCTTTAGGTTATTATCTATGTCCTGGTGGGGATATAACGAAGCAGCAGCAGCAGCAGCAGCAGCAGCAAATAGGAGGAGGAGGTGCAGGAGGAGGAGCAGCAGCAGCAGCAGCAAGCTTTGTACCTTTAGTACTAGAGGCAGCAGATACAGGGGCCTCCTCTATGGCGGAGAGCACAGAGCTAACAAAGGCAATAGATTGTCTCTTTCCTCCCCCTATTACCTATAAAGTTATATATAAGGAGACAGTCTCCAAGGCCCTCTTACTAATTAATTCATTAGAGGGTCCCTTATCCACTACCAGCAGCAGCAGCAGCAGTAGCAGCAGCAGCAGTAGTAGTAGTAGTAGTAAAGGGGGAGCACAACAACATAATGGGGGGCCCCTCACCTTATGGGCCCCTGTACCCCCTTCTCCCCTATTTAGTGCTATAGGTATTGTTGCTACTAGGGGCCCCGACCTCCCCCCCCCTGATGCTATTCGTTGTGTCCCCTCTAAGTGGCTAAGACAGACAAGTGTCTCCTTTAAGTTAGTAGAGATAGATGGGCTAGCGGGGGCCCCCGGGGGGGCCCCTGGAGGTACACATAGGGCAGGGGCCCCCAGGGGGGGCCCCAGGGACTCAAGGAATAAAGTTGCACTATGGCAAGTTGGATCTATGCGTCTCCTTGGGGTTACAAGGGAGACAGCAGAGGGGACACTTAATAGAAGTAAGAGGAGACACCCTATACACCACTATTATCCCTATAAATATATATATATATATA